CAGAGAAGTGACATGTATCTCACTGACAGTATCTTTACTTATTTTATCTGACATTTCCTTGCTTCCTAAACACACTGGAGTGTAAACAAATGGTTGGGTTCTATGGGAAGCTGACACTGTAGTTTTTGTCTTTACTGTAAGTGTGTGAGTGTTATTCATCGCTTGTTTCTATGGATATGTCCTTGCTTTGTCTGCATGTTCCACAGTGTGACATTAAACAGCTCAAAAATACCTAGAAAAACAGGCATTCTGACTGTGAGCGGGGTTTCATCTCCACAGATCTGACCTGTAACTCTGTCTGGTTTGGTCTTTATGAATGTAGAAAGGATTTATACCATACTGTGAAACGTTCCAGACAAAGCAATAACATCTCATCTGATTTTACATTTTAAGTACATTTATTAGGAAGAAAAAAAACTTAAGTAATCCTCAAAGTAGGTATTTTTTTTAAAGGTATTTTCATAGAACAAACCACAATAATAAAAAAAAAAACACATCATATGAAGCAGAGCTGCTCAAATATCGATCATTTTATACTGCAAACTCTTTCATCGCTTGTAGACACAACGTACACAAGTACACAAGACTTACAAAACGTACACAAGTAAAAGTACTGTTTTTTATTGTCTGTCTGATAATCAGGAAGTATGCAGTAGCATGCTAGTTACTGTAAGCTTTACCATGATGGCATGACGCTCAGAATGCATAAAGCAGGGGCCATTAAACTAAGGCCCGCTGCCCAAATTCCGGCCCTCCACGCCCCTTTGACCGGTCCCCCAGCCCCTCTGCCCCCACCACTTGAACTGGCCCTGTGAGGCAATCTTCAAAGTGTCATGGCCTATTTTTTAAAAATCACTTTTTGGCAAATAATAACATGTCTGCATCTTGTATTTTGTTGATTTTTTTTCAATAAAAAAAAAATATATATATATATATATTTTTTTTTCCTCCAAAATTAGGCCCTATGTTCCCATATTTCCTTTGTCATCAATTTGCATCATCATTTCTCCCCATTTTCTCCCAACCTATTCTCCAACAGCAGTTGACAACAGATGTAATGTGGAGGTTATGGTGCAAAGGATCCTAGGTTGAAATGATTCTGATTAATCCCTTTAAAAATTAAAAATAAGAATGACTTCATTTTGAGTTTAATTTTGAGAAAAAAATCTTAGAAATAAGACAAATCTTAGAAATAAGAGAATACAGGGCTGACCCCAGTCAGAGTATGTCAGTAAATTTCCTCATCACAAATAAAATACCTGGAGTTTTGTTTTGTTTCATTCACACATTTAACACACAAGTTCAAGTTCACAAGTTGAGTTCTTTTCTCAAACAGAAAACACTGTTCTACTTTGTGATGTCACGTGGTAAAACAGCAAGTGCTCCAGTTTGTTGTTAAACTCCATACACCTTCAGTAGAATCATTTGGATGATTTCAGCTCTGGAATTACCAGTCTCTCAATTCAAGATGATAGGTTGTCTTTAAATTGTAAACTACCACATGACATACAAGGTGGAACAGAACATTTTGAACTTTGGAGATGGAGACAGACTAAAAAAGCAAGATTGCTCAAACAAAACACAACTTCAGGTATGTTTTTGAAGGGGTAACAACATTATAACATGGCTTAAATCTTATAATCGCTGTCAGTTTTGTTTAATACATTCAACACCAACTGACGAAAAATCTGAGAATTAAAATCTTCTAATATTTTTAATAAGTAATAAATACAAATATGGAAAGCTACCCAGTCTTGTAAGTAGACTTAAATGTACAGTGTGTATTGAGCAGCGCATTCTCCAGTCTCAACCTTTTATCTGATCCCAAACCTCCGAATCACAACACAAACACAGCTCCAGTGTTTATTATGTCTGCAGTGTCAGTGAGATGGGAGAGAGTCCACAGATCCTGCTATAAAACATGTCTCCTTTATAACGCAGGATTTAGAAAGACAAACACGGCCTGTTTTTGTTGCAGCAGGTTTGTAAAAGTGCAGAAAGGCTTGTGTTGCTTTTGCAGATAAGTCATCCGTGTCTTAGCACCAAAACTAAACAAATTCCTTTTCAGAGAGCTCACCTCCACGAGCCCGGCCTGTCTCACATCGCTTACTGTTTGGGCTGTGTGCCGTCAAAATGTCAATGATGATTTTATATGATGATAAGAAATATGTACTTCTGTGGGTGTCTCCTGTTACAGTGTAAATATGGGCTGGAATAGCACTGGGAATTAGCAGAGTTGTTACATTGACAGAGCTGTTATATTAATTGTTTCTATGGTGAACTTGGTAATACTATAGTTTGGGGACATTATATTAATCGCAGACATGGTAATTGATAAACTGATGGTTATTCAGGTAGTAATAGGCCTAAGTATTGACAAAGGAGTTTTTTGGATGCTACTTATGTGCAATAGTGTTCATTTACATAACACAAATGAACTAGATAAAAATATGAACACACCGATACTTTATTGATCCTGAAGGAAATTCAAAGTTCGGCAGCAACAACATAGAAACAAACATATCTTCATAAATGGGAAATATGTGCTAAGAAAAAAAAAAAGAAAAAAGGAAAGAAAGAGTAATAAGTTGCTTAAATAAACCAAGATCTACTGTATGCTTAGTTCTAGTTAGCTATCAGTAGTGTGTAAAGTGTTACCTTAACCCAGGGGTCCCCAATGCCCCGGGCTGGGGGCCGGTACTGGGCTGTGAAAGTGTGAACCCTCCTTCACTTACGCGGCTTGGACCATCCCCCGTCCCATATGCCGCGGCGGGCTATGCCATTAAATCAAAACTAAACCAAGTCTAAACCAGGTCTAAACCAGAACTAAACCAGGTCTAAAACAGGTCTAAAAACAGGTCTAAAACATGGTCTAAAACAGGTCTAAACCAGAACTAAACCAGGTCTAAAACATGGTCTAAAACAGGTCTAAAGCAGGTCTAAAACCAGGAGTAAAACAGGTCTAAAACAGGTCTTAAAACAAGTCTAAAACCAGGTCTAAACCCCCCCCCCCCCCCAACACACACACACACACATATCCCCTCCGGTCCACAAAATATAGTCTGATATAAAACTGGTCTGTGGTGCAAAAAAAGGTTGGGAACCACTGCCTTAACCATTTAATACCCATTCAACAACATAGAAGGGTAACCTGGCTCACACCAGACTGATCTAGTTCTGAAAACAATCAGAAAACATGGAATGTCATGACGACTATTTGAATCTGATTGGCTGAAGAGGAACAAGTCCGTTTGTCATGTCGCCGTGTTTGTTTTAGTTTGTTTGGGCGTTTCACCTTTGGCTTCTGCACAAACCTTAATGCTGTAACATGATTGGTCAGCCAATTGGTTGGTTGGCCCCTATCGCACTCACAATTCCATTGTTTAGGTGTTTGTGAACTCACAAATATCGCAGGAATCCATCTAACTGTGCAAAGGTAGAAGGGGCTGTGTCTATAGAGCAGGGGTCAACAAACTTCTTTCTCTGAGGACCACATTATCACTCCTGGCTGTGATGGGGGCCGGGGTCAGGTCGGCCGTATAACAGAATTGTCTGTGTTATTCTTTGCCAAAAAGTAACTTAAAATTGACCATGACCACTTTTGATTCTGATTTAAAATTTTAAGCACATTTATTTGGAAGAAAAAAAACTTTAAGTAATACTCAAATGGTGGTATTTTCATAAAACAAACCACAATAATTGGAAAAAAAAAACTACATCATATGAAGCAGAGCTGCTCAAATGTTCAAATTCAACACTTTTGTCACTTGTAGACTTGCACTGTGGGAAAAGTAACAAAGATGTGCACAAGAGTACAGTTTTATTGTCTGTCTGATAATCTGGAAGTGTATCATTTGTCAAAGCATGCAGTATGACAAAAAAAAATTAAAATAAAAAGACAAAACTCCAGTTGTGAAAAGCACTTATAAACTCATTACAGTCAATAATTAAGACGCTCAGAATGCAGAAGATAAGTGAGGAATAACTTTAGGTCACTGCAAACTGTGAGTTCAAATGAACATGTTGCATATTTTCACATTTTAAGACTCTGGTACAGCACCTTTAAGAAAACAAACATACATCTGAATCATTATCTTGTTCAAAGCCTGTCGTATTCCTTTGTAAAACCCTGGACTTGTGAGCAGGAGCTGTTGGCGGTCTCACATGTTGTTCTAGACTAATTGAATCTGTGAGTTGCATGTGGACAGACAGAGCCATTTTTCACCGAGCGACTCATGGAAAACTTCAGCTGCTCCAAAAAAGCTCTTGACGTGGTTTATTTGTGTTCCTGTAAGTCTTATTGGAGGAATGAGACCTGACGCGTTACCTGAACTACAGACTCAGCTCTCACTCTGCTCTGGGCTTTCGTGTCAGGTATAAAAGTGGTAAATATGGCCAGTCCCTATAGAGGAGGACAAATATAATTACACTAGTCTAGAGGATCACGTGTGCAGACAGGTTGACATGTGTGATGGATGCTTTAAACTGTGAATTCAACTACTGAGGTGCACTGTGTAACTTTTCTGGTGTAGAGTCTTATCACAGTTGAAGTTATTTTTAAACATGGTGGAATGTCACATTTAATGTCACATTGTGGTATAATCCACGATGTGACATTCATGCCATTCAAAACATTTTGCATGTGTTAAATTACCTGTGTTATTATTGAATTCTCATGTATTCTTACTGTGAATGGCGTCACCTCTCCACAGATCTGACATATAACTTGGCGAATGCCTGCATGTCTCCATGGAAACATGGATACATTTAAGGTCATACTGTGAAACATTCAACACAAAAAGTGCACCTTTAAATGATGTAATTTTCTGCAGGTGGCAAGTCACCTGCATGATTGAGTGGAAACAGAAAGTTCATCCAAAAACAATGTTTTTCAACATTGAAAATCATGCTTTTATTTTAATATTTTTGTTAGCAAAAAAGTGACCTGGTTGTGCTTTAAATAGACTTATCCTTACTTATGTGTGCGCTTGTTTGTGCAGGTGTCGGAGCAGCAGAGGGTGGACCCTCTGGGGTCGTGGATGGACTTTGTGAAGCGGCCAGTCGGGAATTTTCCTGCAAAATGTCGCAAAAGGAAAAGGCCTCTGGTGAGTGAACAACACCTGTTTATTAGTGCATAAAGCTCAGCATCTAAAATTTACATTTACAATGCTCATAGGCATGTGATGAAGCAAGTTTGAATTATTTAGCGTAATATCCATAATTTTAGGAGGGCAAAGTATGGCTTCTGAGCGACAGAAAAGGTTCTAAGATCTCGGCTGGTATGGCAATATTGATATCTTGCAGTGACATCATGTTTCCAGTCAGATTAGCAGACCATAGATCTACACCTTTGGCCCCTGAGCAAACTGGTGTAAAAACGGTAATCAAATTTATGAAGGAAAAACTGGTACACTCTGGTCCGGCTTTTAGACAATAGACCCCAAACCTGTCTCATCCTGCACTACACCATCCCAGAGGACATGTATCTCATGTACTGATTTGTTCGCATGTTCTCAGTCTGTCCTGTGTCTATATTCAGCCAGGTCCCCCCGGTCCACCCGGCCCCCCAGGACCACAGGGCCCTCCTGGAGCTCCAGGTGCAGAGGTCACTCAGGAGGTGCTGCTGCAGGAGTTTAAACAGATGATTAAAGGTACAAACATCTACAGGTCCACTCTGATTATGTTAATGGGCCTAAGAACATCCTTTCATTTGATTGCATTCTATTGTTATTGACATTTATGTATGTAGCCTGAGCGATTACTGCTTTACAAAAGGGGTTACCTTATGCGAAAGTTCAGAACCTCCAGAATTCCCTCCCAGAGCTGCAGAGGCTGCACTAGCACTGGTTCATGACTGGCTGTAGGTGCTGGGGTTTAGGTCATGACCATTCAGATCATTTTTAGGTTTAAAGTAACTTGATTTCAGTATTGAAACTGGCAACCCAAATGAGCGAGTCATGTGAGGCTCATTGTGCTTCTCCTTCTAACCAAATAAATGGAACCTAACGTCCAGTGTTTTTGTAATTCAGATTAAATCAGCATTACACTTGTTATCAGTAAAAGCTATATTTGATTTGAACATGTTTACTTTGTATCTGAGGACACAGTTAGGTCATGTTTCTGAAACTGAAAATCCCCCCTTCCTCCGTCCCGTCTCATTGGAGTGTTGATGTTTTTACAGAGGCGTCTGAGAGGAGAGCCTTGACCCTGGACAGAGCTGGTCCCAGTCAGCTGCCCGCTCCTCTGCTCCCCCTAGAGGCCATGACGTCATACCGCCGCATAGAGGAGGCCTTCCACTGTAAACTCAAAGGACCCGTGCTGGTGGACAAGAAGACACTGGCCGAGCTGCAGAACTTTCAGACAGTAAGTGCAAAACCTGTCACTCTGGCAAATTCAAGAAAAAGTCTGCAAGAACAAGACAAGATATTTTGACATTTATATTTTCTTTTGTCTACTACTTTCAAGATTATACACCACAACAAAACTACAAACCATGGTTCAAAGCAAAGGGTGGCTTCTTTTATTGGACTTATTTTGAGCTCATTGTTTGTTTGGCACATTCCACATGAGCCCATTCAAAGTTTTGGTGCCTTCCCAGAGAATATACAGCGTAAATAATCATCGAAACATGTGGCTAAACGTTTGACTGCTGGTGTATAATACATAACACATAACACATACGGTTGAGTTGACAGTTCTTCTTTCATTTAGTATTTCTGTGATTATTACAGAAGCTTCTCAAAACATAATTCACCACAACTCACCATCGTGTAACTGTTTTATCTTGCGAAATCTCGTGGTATGAGATCTTGTCGCATCCCCACAGGTTAGGTTCAATGGTCCGCCAAGCCGTGGAAGTCACAACAATACAGATTTGGTGGTGGTGGTGGTGGTTAGAATTTTCACCCCTACAGCGTGGCTCTATTCGATACTATTTTTATTTCCTTAGGCAAGACACTTCATCCACATTGGCACAGAATGATGGTCTTATTTACCACCACTGTGTATGGAGTGAATGAATAATATACTTTGGTGTCTAAGGCTGCAGCCTGAAGTGAATCCGATTTTTTGGCCCCTATGTTCCTGTATCTGATCTTTTAATGTCAGTCTGAACCACACAGATACGATTTTTTCAAATGCGAACCAGGCCACTTGGATATGTGCTCCTGAAACCGATACATATCTGATCTTTTGACATGCGACTTCAGTGTGAACGGCCAAAGTGCATTCATTCGACCTACACGTTATCAACAAGCCACAAACGTCACTATTCTGCGTTGAAGTAGGAGAAAATTGTTAATGAACTCCGTGTCACTGAAGTGAAGCACATCACCACTCACCACTCTTGGCACATCCACACGTTCCTTTCAACGAACTTCGCTGCCGCTGCCCCACAAAACACCACGACCAAAAACCTCGTCCTTCTCCTTCTCAATCTCCTCCTTAAAACAAGTAAGTTGAACATGTTCGGGCTCTGGTACGAGAGGAACTTTAAAATCTCCAAGTGCTTGATGCTCGCGTCCATGTTTGGACAACTTCCGTAAACACAGAGCACGCTCGCTGCGGTTGACGTCATCGTGTCTCCAGTGCACATGCGGGACACTTTCGGGCCGTTTAACGTTCACGAAGGGGATCACATACAAGTCACATTTAATTGGAAATGTGAACGACCTCGCAAAAACATCGGATTTCACAAAAAAATCGGAATTGAGCGTTAAGCCCTGCAGTCTGAACGTAGCCTAGGTGTCTAGAATCTTCCAAAATATAGAATAAACCTATTTATCACAAGGGAGACAAGCATTTTATACGCTACATTCAGATCTGTGGAGATGTGCCCCTATTCACAGAAGACATTTTTGAGTAATACTGTAGAAACACACGCAATGAAAAACCATGGAACATTCCAGGCAAAGCAATAAGATCTCCACGGAGGGCCCTCTTCTATACGCAGTGCACCTTTAAAGCACTTTGAGACATGAAAGACTCTACGCAGCAAAAAGTGCCTCTCACAGAATCAATTTGAACATTTTCTCAGGGTTTATATGAGCCCAATCTGTTCTAGAGTTAATTTAACATTTTTGGAAATGTTACTTAAGGAACACTGGACCAAAGTTCTTGTTTAAACCCAAAATCAAAAGTTATGGCCCTGTCACACCTTGATGATTTAACCAGTGTATGTCAACATACCAGCTGGCATACACTGAACTACCTATGTTTTTTTTATTTTTATTTTGGATGTATACACAGTGTATTCGTAATGAGTTGAATGTATACATAATATATTAGTAACTTATATAGAACGTTTTGATAACTATATGTATAACTTATACCAACTGATGCTTAGCGTGTTGCCAGCTTCCACAACTTATGCCCAATGACAGTGTAACTTCTGCAGAGTGCACGGCAGCGTATCGCCGACGCTCACGTGTCATCGCCAATAAAAAGGCTGCCTCTTGACGATTCATAACTGCACTAAACATCGCAGTAGCAACATTAATCAGCATGATCTCTTCTTCTGGCTCTATTGGCACAGTGACAAAATCATGCTGATGTTGAGGAGAGCAAATATGTATTCTTGTCTCAGCCTTGCCGGATCCTCCATCTCTCGGATGATAAGTGTAGCAGGTGATACCACAGGGTCTGCTCACCATCAAGTCTGGAGGAATACTGAAGGTTTCCTCCTATTTTTATACACCAGTTTCCCTACACGCTGCCAGGATGCCATTATATGTCAGATATAAGTTAGAAACATGTTCAGTAAGTTCTGTGGTCATCTGAAGATGTCAAATATGTCTGTGTATGTCAATATGTGTTGGAGATTAGTTCAATATAAGTTACACACAGGCTCAAAGCACGTTACTCAAAAGTTATGGATACGCTCGACATTATCTCAAAGTATTTGGACTTATGAGTAACTTACAGTTAACGTGTGTGAACGTGTGTTAACAATCGCATAACTTACCTACATCTTATGGGCCATGTATGCAGGACGTATAAACATACACTGACATATGTCCAGACATTTTCAGCATACTCAAAATTATTCTACGACCTGACTGTATGTTGACGTATACCAGCATGCTTCAGCGTGCCCATAACTTTCCTGTAACTTATCTGACGCTGGCTAAATAGTCAAGGTGTGACAGCCCCTTTATATGACCATATGGAGAGTAAATGACAACACTGTGTAGGGTTCTCCTGATTTATCTAAACTACACACAGAGGTGTTTTATTTTACACTTTATTTTAGTTCATTTAACATTTTGGGGAGTCGTAACTACACACTGTAAAGTGTAAATTAAAATACACTGTAAAAACACATTCAGCACATGTAAAGCTTTTATGTTCTTTAAAACATTGTAAAAGATGAAATTATGTACAAAACTGGTTCAAACTGGTCTTCTCTCACAAGAGTTTGAATTGGTGGGTGGGAGGTACCAAATTAACACTAGGGGAAGTTGAATTAACTTCAGCCCTATCAATTTTGGCAAATAACCCCCAACTTGAACCCCCTTTTTAACTTTCTAATAGTTAAAATAACACTTTTTATGTAAAAAAAAAACAACTCTAAAATATCTTACCCTGAAATTTTAACCTTCCAGTTTTTGCTTTGTATATTATTCCAGTTCATTATTATTATTGTTATTATTAGACCTGGTTTCATCCATGAATCACTTCTGGAGAACTAGTCGGGTCTTGGGGTTCAAAAAGTCTCCAGAACTTCAACACAAACTTACCTCCACCACCATCATGTGGTGCCAGTATTAGTGGGTGGTACCTCAGATGTTTAGAATAGCTCTTTTCACAGCGCTGATCTAAAAATACTCTTTGGAGAATCCTCTTGAAGCGTTATTCTTTGTTTCCAAACGGTTAATCCAGCCGTGTTTTGCGCAGTCATAGTTTAGCTCAGATGTGGTGGACCATCTCCTTTCAGACTGGCACTGAGGTCAGAAAATAGCCACACATTCACTTCTCCACAGTACTCTGAGGGCAGCATACAAAAGCCACTCTGTCTGAGCTGGAATATTGTGCGGAGAGGACAGAAATAGAGACTGTTTAAAACGCACTCAGTGGAACAACTAGGCCATGTTGGGACCAATTCACTCCCAATAATTTAACTGCTGTAATGTTGTAAATGCAGTAGGTTTAGACTGAAATTTATTCTGGTCAAGGTGATGAAAACTGAAGAGAGAATCGACGTTTTTCTCATCTGACTCTTGGAATAGTGGTTCAGCTACTGTCAACCAAAAATGTTCCTGAGAAGTTATTTTATTGCTTGCAAGAATTTGGTCAAAGCTGTGTGAGCTGTTAATGTTTTGTCTGGAATGTTTCACTCTATGGCATTAAACCTTTCTGTTCATGGAGACCAAACCAGATCCAGTTACAGGTCAGATCTGTGGAGAGGCGAACCAGCTCCCAGTCAGAAAGCCTCTTTTTCTGGGTATTTTTAAGCTATAAAACCACCTGTAACTGAATAAATGTAGGGTAGAACAGTTTAATGTCATACTGTGGAACATTTAAGGTAGAACAATGACATATCCATAGAAACAAGCAAGTAATGTGTACTGCTTGTTTCCATGGAGATATTACTTTACCTGGAACGTTCTAGACAGACTGGTGCCACCTAGTGCCTCTGCTCAATTGCATTTCTCTTCAGCGACTTGGTCAAGAATCAGAATACACTAGACGGTTCGCAAAAACCCCAAAAGTTGTAGACCGTGCACCGACCAATCAGTGAAGAGCCATGAAGCCATGACGTCAAACTCAAGCGTCTGTCGGAGTCCCTTTTGTGGAACAACACAACAGTAAACAAAGCGTCAAGATGGATGTAGACGAAGACAGACATTCTGTGTTGGCAACGATTTGCGAAATCAAGGATTTAAAGCTGGAACAAAGAAAATGTTTGGTGAATTTTATCAAGGGGAAAGATGTTATTGCCCTTCTTCCTACGGGATTTGGGGCATTACATATGTCACGACCAAATAGCAGCGCTTGGTTAAAAAAAAAAGTATCTGTACCGTTAAGTGAATGAATCCCAATGCTGAGAGGTCAGACAGTTTCCATGAAGTGAAACCGGCTGATGAATCAGGCTAGGAATGTTCCACAGTATGGCTTTGATTTTATAAAGCATTTATTCAGTTGTGTATTTATTCCTCAAAAATACCTAGAAAATGATAGATTCTTACTGTGAGGCGAGTCGCCTCTCCACAGATCTGACCTACAACTTTGCCCAGTGGCGTCATCTGCTCTTCTCCATTCTGTGTAATGCTATACTAATATCATCACAATAATATGGTAGGGCATCTGGCATAAAAATGCATTTAAATTACTATGCTAACTATTGTTATCTGTAGTGACCCTGTGACAAAAAAGTACTTTTTTTTGTTTGTTTTTTTGAAATTATGAGCAAAATTAAAGCATAAAACTTTAAAAGATAAGAACCAAGAAAAAAAATGATTGTATTTCTGTTCGAGGGGTTAGTATATGGAACAAGTGAGTGATGATTTTAAAAAGTCTAACACTGCAGAGTATAAAGCGTTTTAAGTTTTCAAAGCTATAGAGCTCTGGAATGAATGAATTATGCATTAAATAAGTTTGTTTTAATTTATATTTTGTCTCTTACATACACACTAATCACAAGTGAAATTGTAAATGCAAACTTGCTGTTCATATGCTGCTTTTCTTTCTGGGAATTCTGTCATTGTTTAAAAGAGTTTGTCATTATAAGTACTTTTTTACTTCAGCCTAAACCCTTTCGGTCATGATCTATTGGGTTGTAGTCTATGTTTTGTTTTATCTTGCTGCAAAATGATCGAATAAACTACTACTACTTCTACTAAATAGAGATTAGTCTATATACAATTGTATCTGATTAAACTCCATATCTGAGAGATGACGGACACAGATCTTAGAAACTTTTTCAATAATGATTTCATGACATATTGTTCTGTTATTTGTGTTCTAGCCCCCAGCCAAAGGAGCGTTCTTGAGAGGAGCTGGTATGGACCAAACCACAGGCAGATTCACAGCCCCCATCACCGGAATCTACCAGTTCTCTGCAAACGTCCACATCGGTGAATACATTTCTTTAACCTTTACAGCAGTATCGCCTTAAACTCACCATAATCCACACCTCTGTACTCAGATCATAATGAAGTGAAGAGGAGCAAGAGTCAGCTGAAGGCGCGGGACAATGTTCGAGTCCTGATCTGCATCGACTCGCTCTGCCACAGATACACGTAGGTTTCAATCTGTTAATAACTTCAAATTCCTTTAGATTTTGGTTTTATAATCAGTGTCTGAAACATGTTTTATTGTGAGACGGCGCTGTAAAACACATCTGAGGTGATGGAAGATAATTTATTCCAATAGATTTTAATTTTCGGAATTTCTGCCTTTGACGTCTGCTAAGAACACAACAACAGAACTTGGTTGATACTCTTTGGGTTGGGGGACTACTGCATTGCATACGCTGCTTGGGTATATTCTCCCAATGAGGCGACCAGATCTAAAGATCTAAAGATGTATTTCACTGTGGTTGTCCTAGAAGGATTGAGGGAGGGTCCACCGCCTATTCTGACATCCCTTCATTACGACAAGTCTCTATTTAGACATGTTGATTTTCCGATACGTCGCTATTCCGTCATGTCATATTTGCTGTGAGAATGTCATCTCATTGAGCTGGTGCAATGAACTTGAATGCTTACGGGTAAAAAAGACAAAATATTTTATCGGAAGTGCCTTTCGTTTAGACGGTGAATCTGAAAGCACCCTCTAGAGCGGAAAAGATGAATACGCTCCGTTATAGTGTTTCCATCTAAACTGCCCAAGACGCAAAACTCTGGTCAGACGCATCTTGTCGCATACGCGTTTACATCACACGTCGGACCTTCAAGTTGCTCTGGCAGCTCTGATAAACTTACAGGAGGCTCCCAACAAATGTACAGAATCTGCAGCGATACTATTAGTGAACAGAGAAGAATCTGCAATCACCTCTGTCAAATTCTGGATGCACCAGTTGGTCTCAGGTGAGTCAGACGGATATGAACGAGACCTGGAGAACCAGTAGACAGTGTTGGGGAGTAACAGATTACATGTACCGGCGTTACGTAATCAGAGTACAAATTATGAGGAACTGTATTCAGTTACAGTTACTGTTTCAGTGAGTGGTAATTGGATTACAGTTACTTTGTTGAAATAAATGGATTACACAGCGGTATTTTCCTGTTTTCACATTTTGGGCTATATCCCTTTTTTTTTCTTCTCAGTAATTCCACTCATTGCCAGACACTAAATCAGGTCTAAAACCAGGTCTCAACCAAGACTAAAACCAAGTCTAAACCAGGACTAAAACAGGACTAAAACCAGGTCTAAACTAGATCTATACCAGGTCTAAACCAGGACTAAACTAGATCTAAAACCAGGTTTAAAACCAGGTAAACTAGATCTAACCAGGACTAAACTAAACCAGGACTAAACCAGGACTAAACTAGATCTAAACCAGCTACTAAAAAGACTAAACTAAACCAGGTCTAAACTAATCTAAACCAGGTCTAAACTAAACAGGACTAAACCAGGACTAAGCTAAACCAGGTCTAAACTAGATCTAACCAGGTCTAAAACAGGTTTAAACTAAACCAGGTCTAAACTAATCTAAACCAGGTAAACCAGGACTAAGCCACGACTAAACCAGGACTAAACTAGATCTAAACCAGCTTTAAAACCAGGTCTAAACTAGATGTAAACCAGGTCTAAAACCAGGTCAAAAACAGGATTTAACAGGACTAAACCATGCTGCATGGACGTGTCTCCTCCTCTTCTATCAATAATATTTTTTATTTGGTTAAGTAAAGTCTATACTTTTTATTTTCTTTTAGCAGACAAAACTTCTTATGTGAAGATGTCCTGGTGTTTGCTTCTCTACAACAAATCAAGTAATGCAAAGTATTCAGATTACGTTACTCACTTAAAGTAATTTTTTTGGAGTGTGTAATCTGTAATCTGTAAGGGATTACATTTTAAAAGTAACCTTCCCAACACTGCCAGTAGATGATGGGACAACTCTGTGGTTACTTCAGGTACAAACATACCCAATCCAATTCCACACACTTTTGCATCACCGTACGAACGCAGATTTCCTCCCGAAAACCCTCGTCTTAATGCAGAATAAAAAGTGAAGACGCCACTTTTGGGTCAGCCTCAGTTACACTTTCCCACTGTCTGATATCCTACGTGGCAGAAGTATTCTCTGATCAAGCATCTTATGACATATGAGAGCACAAAGTATAATAGGATCCCATTAATGTTATTCATGTCGGAAAAGCGGAAAAAACGTCCAAGTCCAAGATGCTTGAAATATAATGTTTATGCCTCTATTCCAACAATTAGACGTCAATGTCTAAATAGCAGCAGCGTGTAACTGATTGAGGGAAATTACTAAATTTGAGGGAAAATATGAGAAATGTATGCTTATGCCCATGTGTTCCCTAAAAATGCTACAGGTCTAAGATTGAGACCAGGTGTTTACAAAGATGGTGTCCTGTTAGCTGCACTGATATTGCCAGTCCCTAATTGCAGGGTCAGTACCTAGTTGACCTTTTCATTGTTTACTAGGCTCTGTGCATATGCTTTTCATTTACAAACTCTATAAACATCCTGGCCTCTTACACCTACTGCGTAAAAGTGATCTCAGGAAGTATACAGCGCAGAGCCGTCTCCCTGGTGTCATATTAGCGCTGAATACTAACCTAACCGCTGGCTACGATTTATGAGGCGTTTAAAATGTTGTCTGTTACAGTTTGTGTGGAACCACTTTGGCATTTCCTGCGTAAACGTCTGTGCGGGTCTTTAAAAGGATATGTCCTCTCATTTAGGGCCGCGGTCCCTGTCGCCAAACTAATCTTTATAGGGCGACCTTTGACCCCAGAGGAAGCCTGTTACCGTGGCAGCGCGACCGTCAAATCCCTCCCCACTGCGGAGGTGGGAAACGGCTAATGATGGAGCTTAGCGTAGAGCCGGAAAGCTGCCTGGACAGAAACCAATATTTTCATTAGTATTTTGTACAATTTGGGTTGATATTTTAAGCTATAAATCTTCAGTTTTATTATTAAATGTCAAATTTGCAAAGTGTTATTAGACTTGTCACTAACTACTGACCATAAACAAGGAAAACAATGTGAAACAAATTCCCAAAGATTCCCTGTGATCTCATAATTTCAAAATGTCGTTCAAAAATAAAAGCCAATAAGCAGTAAAAACCCAGCCCTAATCTAATAAAAGTTCTACATGTGGTCATTGTATGTGGAGCCCAACCCCCGATTCCACAAGTACATTTTTCATTCCTTTTTCCCATAGACTTTCCAAAAAAGAGATATATTAAAAGTCTGAAAACTTACTCAGGGCTGATCAGCTCTGTGGTGACTGACCACAAAACTGATCATTTTCTTTTTCAGACTTTATAAACCCTGACGTTAACAGTCAACAGACTCTTGTGTTTCAAATGTGCTTTTTGGATTTTTTTTTTAAGATATTAGTTAACATGTGGCTGGTTAACTTCTCTTAATATTAAAATTTTTGCAAAAAGTCTATGGGAAAACTGGAGCAGATGTCAGTGCGCTCGAGTATCCCGAGTCTGAGTCTTATCCCGGTTCTGACAGTATTCTGGATATGGTGTTTACATGTGCCAAGAGAAACCAGGATACTCATGTCTCTGTGTAGGATCCTGGATATTTAGATTGGTTGCTATGGTCACTATGGCACAGATATGGCAAGGAGCTCAACATGTAGCAACGCTCCTAACAACAAAAAAGAAGATATATATTAAAATAAGAACATGAGACTAAAAAAGATTCAAAAGGAGCGCTTCCTGGAGAACATGAGACTGTGGAGCTCTGTTACAACTTCAGTGAGTCATTTTTAAGTGTTGAAAAATGACAGTCTCACAGCGTCCATTTACTTCAAGAGCAACGGTGCCTGAGTGTCTAGCACTCAAGCCTCACAGCAAGAAGGTTTCGGGTTCGATCCCCAGGTTGCCCGGGCCTTTCTGTGTGGAGTTGCATGTTTCTCCCCGTGTCTGGATGGGTTTGCTCTGGTTTCAGCCATCAACCCAAAACATGCTACATAGGTCTCCAAGAGCAGTTAATGGTCAATTAAATACAATCAATCAATGAACCTGATCCAGTGCACTGGTGCTAGTGGCAAGACACTTCACCCACATTGCCTAGTATGAAAGTGGTGGGTGCGTGAGTGATGGTGGTGGTCGGAGGGACAGTTGGTGCTGATTGGCATAGCACGTGTAGAGTGAATGAATAATATATGCTGAATGTAATGCTCTGTAAAGCGTCTTTGTGAAAAGTGCTATGTAAATGGGGACTTACGTACAAACATACACAGAAATGAGCCTGGAGTGAAAAGGTGCTTGTATTAAACAGTAGACTGCTTAATATTGTTTAGAAGTATAAAATGTATAATAATACATTGGACTTATATAGAATTTTATGTAGTGAAATTAGTAGTATTTAGTAATTATGAAGTTTAAGTTGTTTTGGGAAAATAACTCCTCCTCCTTTTGTTACTGGAGTTTGCACATGTTCAGTTCAGCACCAGTGTTGAGAAATCAGGATACTGCGTCTACAGGCCGTCCTGGACATTCTGAGAAAAACCCAGTGAGAGTATCCTGGTTTCTCATAACCGGGACACTGGCATATCCAGGATACTGAAATGAGGATACTGTGTCCAGATGGACAATCACATAACCAGGATACTCAAAAAACCCGATCAGAACCAGGATACTGAAGTGCATGTTTACATATACACTGTGGTGAGATTCGTACGCACTGATTCCTCGTCTTCTTGACCTTAAGTTCATCTTTTTCAGCACAAAGTCCATTCACATATTTTATATCAGATTTGGTTTCCATTGCTCTGCAGAATATGGAACCTTATCCATGGACACTGCCCACAACAAACTGATATTGAAGGAAACTCCAGCGCTCTGACTCATTAGTGCTGCTTTGTTAGAACAACAGCGAAGTCTGCTACTGGGAAACATGGACTAATGGAAACAGGGGTAGAATCAATTAGTCATTAGTGTAAAGAATAAAGCAGTGGAAATGGGTGCAGTCCACTCGAAAAACGACTGCACTGTCTTTTCCAAGTGCTGTACTATTTCATTCATAACACTGGAGGCAAATCCAACACATTTTCTGCAACTTAACAAGGGAAATCTACTCAAAGTCTATTCAGGCGTTTCAGCTCCTGTTTATAGCCGACTGTCCATTCCAAATATTCAATAAGTTGGAACAATTGTTTTGAGTGAAACTGGGACAGATACAATGCAGACACATTTCGGCTCTTTTTTATTCACGCTGATTTAATGTTTAAAGGACCTATATTACGCAAAAACGACTCTTGTGAAGCTTTAAGTCACGTTCACGTTGTTGCTCCCTCAAAACTCTGAGTTCATACATGTTTGCGTAACCATTTATTATTAGTGTGTGTACATATAAAGCTCAAGATGCTTTGTTCCACCTTGTGATGCCATGTAGAAGTAGTTTTCACGTTACTTTACAGCGGAGCACTTCCTTCCACATGACATCACAAGGTGAAACTGTGTGTTTTGAGTTTGAGAGAAGAACTCAGCCTAAATCTGCAGGTTTGTGTCTTAAACATGTCTGAATGAAACAAAACACAACTCCTGGTCTGTTTGCAATGAGGAAACAACATTAGAACATACAGTAGATCAGAAAACAGTGTAACATGAGCTCTTAAATGTTCATTATTATTTTATATCCACCGTAAATGAATAAAACTAATTAGTGTTTTGAACGATGCTCAACTTTTATCACTCTGAAACCCTTCCACTAGTTTTGAAGCCTTTTATAAATCGCACTGACCTTGAAAAGACTATTCACGCTTTTATCATCTCCAAAATACTGTAGACTATTGTAATGCACTTTATGTGTGTGTGTTCCGGTCCACCTTCAGCAGAATAAAATGTATTCCCCTACAGATTACAGATTACATACCCCAAAATGTAGTTTGTAACATAATCCATTAAATGATTTATAGTGAGTAATGTAATCTGAATACTTTGGATTACTTGATATTGTCATGCTTTTTAAAACTACATGAATGTACCAACCACATCCTGAAAATTCATGTTTGTTCTCTTCAAATTGTCTGTTGAGCCCAAGTCTCCATGAACAGACTTTTGTTTACTGTAGAGAAACAAAGACCAGAATCTTAACATAAGATGTTCTGTCTGTTAAAAGAAAATAAAAAGTCCAGTCTGGTTTAGACCTGGTTTAGTCCTGGTTTAGACCTGGTTTAATCCTGGTTCCTGGTTTAGACCTGGTTTAGTCCTGGGTTTAGACCTGGTTTTAGACCTGGTTTAGACCTGGGTTTAGACCTGGTTTTAATCCAGACCATAGGGCCTCCAGGTAACCAGAGTAACATGTTGAATGTGACGTTAAACGTGTACAGAGATGTGAGCAGATCTGACCAGAGTTTTTGCGTTCTTGGGCAGTGGTAGACGGAGATGACACTACGGTGACGATGGAGCTTATTCGACTTTTCCACTGTGGAGGTGGTGTTTCAGATTTTTGCATTTTTAAGCTCCAAAAACGCCGTCACCGTCTAAACGAAAGGCACTTCTGATAAAATATTTTGTCGTTTTTACCCACAATCGTTCTCGTGTAAACAGGCCCTCAAATTCTGGGGTGATGGGACTTTCTTTTTTAGTTTTTATTAAGGACAACAGAATATAACATTAAAAAACTACAACGATCAACATTTAACAATTCCAATAATCGGCATAAAACAAAATACAAAAACATAAAGAGCAACACCCACAACAAATACAAAACAACAACAACAACAACAAAAAAGGCCCATTTCCTCCCGACCACACACACTAACACAAATCTGGCCAAATTAAACAAAAGTAATATGGTAGTGGGTCCAGTCAAGTGGTAACGGAGGGAAACGGGGGCAGATTTTTGACATTCAAATGTCTCTTATTCAGAAACTAGAGGGACTATTGAAATAAGTAAAGTATCAGAATGTAGGAAAGAGTTACACTCCAACAGGGTCAAGTTAAACCTGTGATATTCTTTCAAGTTGTTGACAAAAAATTTTAAAAAACTCATGTCGGTAACGAAGGGAATGAAATATGCAGCACTTTTTGGGCAATAAATCCAAACAGTGATAACTCTTGGTTCTCACTTCCATATCCTTAACAAACTGGTTTGAATATTTGCTTCATATAGTTTTCTACCATATGGTACAAGATTAGGTTGAAAAACCTCTTACTTTTTGACTCATGAGATTTTTTATTAAGAAAGGTCATGGTAACGGAAGGGAAAAGTAACGAAGGGAAAATTGTGCAAGCAAATAGAAGGTGCATGATTTTACATAATTTGTTGCTTTTTTCTTCTGAATACTTTAATATTACTTCAAAATTAAAGGAAACTATTTGTATAAAATATGTCAGTCCTTCCAATCAAATTTTTTTTGAAAAATCATGTACCTTCATCAACAGTTCAACGATGGAATAACACAAGATATGATGAAATACATCCATTTATTGACATGATTTGCAGGTCTTTGAAATTTGGGAAATAATTTTTGTTCCATGTTTCATTCATGGTCTGTTTAAAATGTATAGAACTTTAGAACTAAAAATGGTACAGAAAAAAGGTCAACAGTTTCATAAACTAGACACATATGTATCTGTTCAGTACATTTTTATATCAGATGCATTAACTTGAATTTTTGGCCTTGATGTTTACTTCTGCTTGACCAGGCCCTAGTGCAACATAAACACACCGCTAGGCCACTCTACATTGACTCACTGCGACCAGTTCTCAACTGAAATGGTTGAAATGGTGATGGGGGCTTTGTTTGTCGCTGGCCCCAGTCTCGGGAACAAACTGCCCCTGATTTGCACATCATGTTTAAATCCAGGCTCAAAACTCATCTATTCAGACTGTTATGTAGTGACACTTTGCACAATTAGTTTTATTTCATTGTTAATATTTTGAATGTTTTATGTCATCTTGGTGTTGTAAAGGCTCTAGAAATAAAGTTTGATTGACTGATTGATTGATCGTCCTACCTCAAAGACACCCATTACCTCAAGCTCAGGTCACACATCTTTGGTTTCACTCAAACCTCTCTATTTAAACCAGCACGTCCATGAGAAACCAAATAAATCTCTCCCCTAAGCCTCCCCAGACCACAGAGAGGTCCAGGCAAAGCTGCGTATAAATAATATCATAATGAAGGCTTAGCGAACCAAAAGACTCCCATAAGCTCCTGCAGCCTGCCTCCCACACACCAACACGCAGAGAACGTGAAAGTCGTCTCGTTGGGATGACATTTGGAGAGGGAGATACATGATTGATTTAGCGTAAAGTCGGAGCATTTTCCACTTAACGTGAGCCAGGGCGGTCTCTGTGTGTGGTTTAATAACACTGTTGCTCAAGGCATTTTGTTGCAGATTATTACGGTTGTTAAATAGAATAACTTCACAGAGTTAAGCTGTGTTATGTTTTTTTCTTTTTCTTTTTTTTTTTCTTTTAGATCTCTTGAAATGATCGTGGGATTAGAAAGTAACAGCAAGATATTCACCGTGAGTGTGCAAGGGCTGCTGGAGCTGCAGGTGAGCACAAAGTTCATGTTAATGTTGTTTTTCTGAGAGTTTAAAGGTTTTTAAGGTCTTTAAGCCATGCTGTTACCCCTTCAAAAACAGACCTGGAGTTGTGTTTTTGTTTCATTTACACATGTTTGAGGAATCTTTTATTATTTATTATTAGTCTGTTTACATCTTCAAAGATCAAAATACTGTTTTCAAGTTGACAGCTCCTTTTACTTTTAGTTCAGTAGAGATTCCAATGCTGAAATTAAATATTTCTAGTGAAGGTGTATGGAGTTTAAAACACAGTGGAGCACTTCCTGTATTACCACATGACATCACAATGTGGAACAGAGTGTTGTCTGCAGAGTTTGTGTTAAACATGTGAATGAAACAAAACACAACTCAAGATCTGTTTATGATGATGAAACATTATAACATAAACCAGAAATAGCATAATTAAGAAAGTAAAAGTGTTTTCATGTTTTTATTTGTCAAATAATATGTATGTGTAAATTAGACAAGCTTTGACCATTGTTTAGAATATATGGTTGTCAAGTAACACTTATAAAATGATAAAAAGTAAGTATGTTTTTATTTATAAAGCTCTTTTCACAGAGCATTATTCATTCATTCATACCTGGTGATGGTGAGCTGCTATTGTAGCCACATCTGCCCTGAGGCAGACAGATGGAAGTGCAGCTGCCACTCTGCACCATCAGTCCCTCCAACCACCATCACTCACACACTCCACATTCATACTAGGCAATGTGGGTGAAGTGTCTTGCCAAAAGACACAACAACAGTTTTTGTGACTGGCGCCCCCCTGTGGCACCTGATTATCCCAGTGTCTCACATCCAAGTTCTAACCAGGCCCGGCCCTGCTCAGCTTCTGAGATCTGACAGGATCAGACTTTTTTCAGCCGTTTTTTTTTTAAAGTTTTTTTTTTAAGTTAACTATGTTTCAGTGAAATGACTAGTCTAACCTGTCATATGCACTTTAAGCCAACATATTGCCAGTCTACATGCTCACGGTGACCAGATTTTTCTCAAAGCGAGTGGTTTTATTCTAGACAGTGCGCGCAGCCTGTGGTCCGCAGACATATCCCACTGAAGTCTTTGAGATCGGAGATTTTAAATCTCATAAGATTCTCCTCATGTCTGTGGTGTGCTCTTTTTGTTGCACTTTTAAAAATGGTTTAAGACTAGGGATGTAACGATATCCAAATCTCACGGTATGTTATTATCACGATATGTGTCTCATGGTATGATATTTATTGCACTATTTTAAAGAGGCTAATATAATTGTAGATGGGACAGTTTTTTGCTGTGAAAATACCTTGACAAGATTTTGGTGTGAATTATTTCCATCATAATCCCAAGAATTCAAGTCAAAAACATATTTCTTCATGTTGTCTGCACTGAAATGAATCATGGGATATGTAGTTCTTGATGTTTATAAGCTGTTGCTATGATAAAACCATGCATTTAAACAGAGGAACTTGTAATTTAATATATTGTAACAGCCCACGATATTATTGTGAGACTTTTGACAATACGATATCACGATATTTCGATTATTGTTACTTCAATATTTAAGACTGAAAAATGCTGTAGTGTGTGGCGGCCTTTATACTTGTTCTGATACAGCTCAAGATCATTCATTTCTGTCCTGTGAATGTGATTGTTTCTTGTTTTAACATATTATATCAGTATTTGATTTTCGATCCTTTTAATAACCCTACTATGAACCTTGCTTACATTTCAATACCCAGACTTGTGCATTATTTCTCTCCAGGCTGGACAGTACACCTCCATATTTGTGGACAACGCCGCCGGGGCCTCCATCACGATACAGAACGGCTCCGACTTCATGGGCATGCTGCTCGGGGTATAGCCAATGCTCCAAACCGTGGGACTCTTTGGATTTTTAATCATTTCCCAACGGACTTCTTCTGAGCATCCCCACATCCTCAACAAACAAAAACAGGACATGAGAGCTACAGTGAACTTTCAGGAGACTTTTTGAACGGTGAAAAAGACATTACATGGACTTTTGGACATTTTCTTGGACACTTCAGTGAGGTACATATGTTTCGGTGTACTGTTTCAATGCTGTTCTAGGCCTGGGAGCTCTACATATGTTTTGGTATACTATTACAATGCTGTTTTAGGCCTGGGAGCTCCACAAATGTCCATATTTTGAAGTTTTCTGCAAAAATCAAGACTGAAAAAGTACAGCGTTGGGTGTTGTATGTTGGAATCTAGAGTTGCAGTACACTGGACCATGAAAAATGCTCATATATAAGGTCTGTCAATGTCTTAAGGAGATGAATGTCCCACAGTTTAACATATTCTACAAAACCATGTGTTATTGTCCATTATATGTTAATTTGAATGTATAAGTCCAGACATACAGAGGTATGTAAGCTGCATCATAAGTGTTATTCAGTATTTATGTTGAGATGTAAAATATATAATTCCTGTTGATTTACACTCTATGAATGTTTAAACCACAGATAAAATAAAAGTATATTTAGTCATTCATTTGGTCTAATTCATAAAAACGACTTCAGAACCAGAGTTTGAACCATGAGTGTGGAGCATATTTCAGAATGAACCAAGTCTACTCCCTTTTAACCATACACTCTTTTGGTTTTGTCGACTCTGGCTCCAATCAAATTTCTATAGGCGAGTTTCAGCTGATGTCATTGTTATTAAAAGCCCGCGTTGCATGTTGGGAAATATTTTGGTCGGAAGCAAGAAACACGGTAGCGTCAAACACAGTGCGTAACCTCGCGTATTTATCCCCGATAATGATAAATTCCTGCTGCATTATCGGATGCACAAATAGAAGCACGGAAGAAGGAAAATGTCTTTTTCATATTCTGAGTGAAAAGAACCACTAACGGTGAATTAAACGGCTTTCAAACATTCGCAGAGCAAACGTAGAAGATCCTAACAAACCGTGGACTCCAACAAGTTCAACAACACATCGAGACTCTTGGAGGTTTTCATCTTTTCAGCTGTGAATGGCCCAGGAGTTTCCACCAAGTCATTGTGGATATCGCCCAAGTGAATATTTGTCCAGGTAGTTGGTGATTCCGACCAGAAATTTGGTTTGTCGGGGTTGAAAACGGTGATTTGGCTCCATCGATGCTTATGACCAATTTCTGGTCAAATGGTCTTGGGTCCTCTGCCGTTAGAGTGGAGAAATAACCGGGATCAATACCCTTTACATGCTTTCTCACTCCGTCCGTCATGTTGAATTAGTGTTTATTGCCGTCGACCAAAATAATTCCCAGCATGCAACGCGCACTTTTGTCAACAATGAAACTCGCGTGTTGAAAGGCTGTTGGTCCTCTCTCTGTAACTGTTGCTGTCAGCCTCGTCATTTTGGTCTTAAAATGTTAACTCTCTCTAAATCATCATGTGGTTTTTATTTTGTTCATACATCAAGATATGAACATCAATAACAGACTAATAAAATGGTAAGTGGTCACATTTTTATACAGAGCTTTTCCACCTTCAAGGCACTCAGGTTCCATTTAAACATACACAGGTATTTTTAAAAACAGAGACATTTCCCTTTGTTTGTGCCCATCTTTTACACGCAAACAGCGAATACGCCTCTGAAAATCCTTCTAAAACTGGAACTGGAAAACTACAGTTTGGCGTTTGCGTGAGTAAAAGTAAAAGAGAGATAAGCTGATTTTTAGGCAGCTGACGCGCCGAAAGTGCAACCAGTCTTTATCTTTTGCACTGATGATGATGATGGAGCATCAGAGCAGCAGTCACATTCTTCTGGGGCAAACACTTTTCATGTGTTTGCATTTGCACAAACAGCTGATGGATCATATCCATGACCAGACACAAATGAGGCTTGGAGGTCAGCAATTTTGCCACTTCTTTAACAGATCTGTGGAGAGGCGAGCCCGTTCAGTAATGCACGTTTTTCATGTTATTTTTGAGTAATACTATACTATAATAACTGTAATAAAATAAATATAACTGTAATAAAATAAATGCTACAGGTTTGAGTCTAATCCAGGGGCCGCCCAGAGTCTTGGTGTAGTTATGATGGTGCTCAGTGGAGTATTTATGCGGGTTGATGGAAATGAAAACCTTTTTGAAAACAATGCTGTGTGCACGATGCTTTTTTGGAAAACCGAGGGAGGGAAGTATTTGTCTTTTAATATACCCGGCTATGTGCAAATGTAGCCTCAAAGCTTTACAACAAGGAATGCTCACCCATTCACACACACTCATACACCAGTGTACACAGACACAGGTGGGTTAAGTGTCTTGCCCAAGGATACAAGGTAATATTCATCTGTAGGAGCTAGAATTGCTCTGCCAACCTATGGATCAGTGGATTTGACCGCTCAACCAATGATGTTTTGAGATTCAAACCACCAACTTTCGGGTCAGTGATCAAATGCTCTTACCAGCTGAGCTACAGACTGATAAAGTTCCTTCGTTCCTTGAGTTCGCTCCAGCTAGGTTTGATTGACAGTGTTGCTAAGAGCAGGAAGGGGCATTACCTTCAACAGCCTCACTCATGGTTGGCTCGTTGGTTGCAATGATACACGCGCTGGGATTACCAAATATGGATCTTGGCTTCCAAATAGCCACTATAACTGCTAATCTCAATTGGCTTCATTTGACTGGAACACTGTGGGTGACGTCACATTCCCTTAGTCCACGGTACAGATGCGCGGATGGGCTATTTTTTCATGCGCAACCGCGACACAAAACTCATCATCCGCCCGCTGTCCATTTGCACCTAAGGTTTTGACCAATTTTCTAAACCGCACTCGCCCGCCATCCGCTCAATGATTTTAGATTTTAGAACAATCATATAGCAAACAAATTAAAGAGCCTCGATAAAAATGCAAACTCTATAGCTCATTCCTTCCAAAATTCGCTCAACGTGCATGTTCGCATTCTTAATTGTCCGTAACATAAAACGACGCTCGTTGCTCAGGGGTTTAACTCCCTGTTCGGAGCCTCACCGTGAGTGCGTGGGCTCAAGAAACGCGCCAGTTCACTAAATAACAGGGCAATTGCTTCCTGACTCGCTTCGGTCGCCTTCTGACCGTTCATTTCACATACAGTATAACATAGACACTGGTACGCTCCAAGGGCCCATTCAAGAAGCGCGTGCCTCGGTGGCGCGCACGCAGTCACTCAGTCACGCTCACGCCACACATCGCTATAAACACTGCACATAGGAGTAAAGACGCATATCTTATAACACTTAACAATAAAGGCTGTAATATATATATATATATATATATATATATATATATATATATATATATATATATATATATATATATATATATATATATATATATATATATATATATATATATATAATTTGAGTAGTTAAACTGCCACCCGCCCGAATTTAATTAAAATATTATTTTTTGTCACGTCATCCGCCCGACCCGCGGTTTAGCCATGGACACCACGGCTGTAACCGCAATCTGCGCATCTCTAGTCCACGGCCTGGCTCTGTGACTGCAACAGACACGACTACTGCAAAAGTTTAGGTGTAGGAGGCGGATCCCTTTTATAAGCGGCTGAATGCACTGGGCCCTTGTGCATCCAGGTCACCTCAAAATACAACAATAATTAATACAAACATGGCACAACAGGGGCTGTGTGTGATGAGTCTGATGTTAAACCACGACAGAGAAACAACCGTTGGGGGCAGTCAGGCTGTTTGAACATCTATCAGTGTCTCTTTTGACTGTCTATCCAGTTGCTTCTTTGTGGTTCTTATTGAAAAAAAACATCATATTTCAGAATCAACTGTGGATTAAGGAAATGTTTTCCTGAGCCAGAAGGTGGGCTACAGAATCTTTAAAGGAGCTTACTGTCGAAAACATGAAACAGAACTACACTGCAACAAAGCTTGGCCAGAATTAAACATATGAACACTTAAATCTATCAGACTTAAAAGTAGTGAAATGTAGTGATGTGTTCATGCAGCAAGATTATTTTACTTGACAAGTTCTTTTAAAATAAACGACCTCTAGACTAGAATGAAGTTGTCCGTGGTGAGTGTTCATAAGTGTTCATGGGCTGGAAATAAGTTTATGGATCCTAAGTTTTAGATAAACAAATCTGTGTCACTGAATCTAAAAACAAGTGAAGTGTTGCAGGGAAAACTCTGGTAAATGGATGGTAGCTTCTTTTAAACATTTATTGCCTAAATCTAAGATTTTCTGACTAGTTGAGTCATGGAAAATGTATGTCATTGTAAAAATATATGTGACAATTTTTAAGATCATACAACGAATTCAGAACTAGTAAGTAGAAAATAAATCTAAAAACAAGATGTATACAGTGGTATAAAGTGGTCCCCCGTTAGGTGAAATCCACAATGTAGTCAGCTTTATTTTTTAGCTTTTTTAAATTCTTATATCTTTATTTTATAAATTCTTATATCTGTTTTAAGTCTGTAAAACCCCTCAGCACACACTTTATGCACTTTTCTCAGACAGGACACTTACAACCCTTTTTACATCCTTTTTAAAACTTATCACTGCTGTCATCCTTATGTTATTTTCCTCCTTCTTTATGTAACAAACCAAAGATTCATTTATTCTGTAATGCGCTAGAGCTGCGTAACTTCTACCTTCCTTCAGCGTGTCCAGAAGTCCAACTTTTTGTGCGATGGTTTGCATCTTCCTCTGCCTTTTGGGTGCGAGCGCAGGAGTCTTTGTCGGTGCAGAACAAAAGTTCTGTTGTCAACATTGTGGGTGTTGTTGGGGGGAAAACTTGCAAAGTAATGACTGAAAGGACGAGATCGCAGACACAAGTCATAGAAATGAGTTTCCTCTGCAGGTTGGGTGCTTCCTTAAAGATAGGGTGAGGAGCTCTGTCACACAGGAGGAGCTCAGAGTAGAGCTGCTGCTCCTCCACGTCAAGAGGAGCCAGCTGAGGTGGCTCGGGCATCTGTTCCGGATGCCTCCTAGGTGCGTTCCTCGGGAGGTGTTCTGGACATGTCCCACCAGGAGGAGGCCCCAGGGAAGATCCAGGACACACTGGAGGGACTATGTCTCTGGGCTGGCCTGG